ATGGAGGAGTTAAATTTTCCCATGATTGACGGTTTCCCACCAGATTACATGCATATTGTGTGTCTTGGTTGAGTGCGGAAATTTCTCAACTCACTCGGAGATATGTGGACAAGACAAAAAGCCAGGCTTTCTTTGGAGTCCTGGAATCTGCTGAATGATAACACTGAGCAACAGAGTGTAGCAACAGAGTGTCAACAGAGTGCTGCTGAATGATAACACTGAGCAACAGAGTGTAGCAACAGAGTGTGTGTGCAACAGAGTGTAGCAACAGAGTGTGATTTTCCCCGAAAATGTCGAGATGTCGTAGACCTGGATCGGTGGAAGGCATCTGAGCTACGACAGTTTCTTCTGTACATAGGACCCGTTGTTTTACAAGACATCTTACATCCTGACGTTTACGAATGTTTCATGTATTTTTCGGTAACCACTTTCATAGGCTGTTCACCTTTTTTCACAACATTATGCTTATTTTTTAATTGATGTTTCCAAGGTTGCTGTGTCAAAATTTGCTGCTATTTTTGGTCCCAGCCATTTAGTCTTCAACGTACACTTCTTCTCCCATTTATCTAATTTCGTCAAGCTTTATGGTTGCTTGGATCGTTTTCCCTGTTTTCCCTATAAATCGGAGCTAAGGCATTTGAAGCATTACATACATGGGCCAAAACCACCAGCTGTTCAGCTTTACCGCCGACTGGCCGAGCGTGTGAGATTGGATGCTGTCGAGAGAAAGACATTTTTAGATGATGTTGGTTTGCGACTGAGGCCATCAGCCACTGCCGGATGTCACAATTTCATTCATAGGAATATCGTTTTTTCGAAAAACTTTCCCGACAACTGCATTTTGCTTGATAGTCAACAAGCTGTCATTTTAAATTTTTCTGGAGATACTACTGAGTACAAGAAATTCAAAACTGTTCTCCCGTCTTACACTCACGTATTGATATCGACAGACGTTTTAGTTTTTCAATGCTCCAACTTGCAACACGCTCGGCTGGTTGCATCAGTCGACCAAATATCTTGTAAATGTCTACGTTTTTCCCACAGAGACTCGTATATACTTCCCCATTTTGCATGCCCTTATCGATTAGTCAGTACTCTTACCACTGGCACTCGACACGCGTGCATTTGTTACTTGTATTACTCATTAGCTTATAATACATATATACATATTTATGTTGGTGTTGTGTTATTCCATCAAAGCTTCCGTTTGCATGTGGATGTTCTGTTAAATGTTGTATTTGGAAGTTGTTTTTCAGCCATGTACGCTGTTCTAATATTTGCGGACAACTCTGTTGGCATAGTGCATGAATCGTGGTTTGTACCGCCCGATTCAGTCCTTTGGCTCTCGTGCACAAGCAGCACTCTTTATGCCAACTTACTGGGGGATAATCTACCAAAATGTCCACTCAAGTCGTGCACGTACGAAATGTATGGGCAGTGCAGTAAGTTCATTTTTAGTTAAAAATGTTCTAGAAACTTTTCCGGATGCACCGAGTGCTCACCAGGAAGCCCTTGACTCAGGGCATACCTCCTCTGCGGAGCAAAACGGTGAACGACTTGTACGTCAATCCAGGCGCAAACAGTATGTTTATCAATCGTATTACGATGGTTGCTGTACAAAGAAACGGCTGCCGTCTGATTTTACGGACGGGTCGGATCGTGATTCCAGTGGTGACACCACTTTGTTTGCCAACATAGTCATAAGTCCACCACCTCCAAAATGACTGTAGGTCCTCCCGGACCCACCAACTTTTCAATTTGTAAAATCCTCATTTTCAGATGTACCAACCCGACCGCCAAGCTTAGTAGTATCATTCCCGTTCAAGACGCGCCACCCGTCCCTCGTGATGCCCCGATGATATGTAGTACGTACGTTTTATTTCATTACAACCATCTAGAATCTATCAGCAGTTCCCGCCATGGGCGATCCAGAACCACGCAGTCCTACACCGATCCTCAAGTTTTCTTGACATTCCATGTACTTTACTTTCTAGAACTAACTCTACAAATTCCGTGGCCACCGTAATTTCCCCGGGCCTGGCCAAACTCATTCTCAGTGAGTACATTACCATGTTTTAATTAAACTCCATAGATGGCTCCATAGACTGCATATGAAGCTAGACGCTTTAGTACCCACCAGCAGTTCTGAGGCACTCAACGAGCCCCCTCTTCCGCTCTCATCCATGGATGATCTCCGAAAGTATGAAGAACATCTATGAGATGGTCCACGCTATGCACAACTGGTAAGTATAAGTTGTAGTCACGATTGTTGATTTCACAAAGATGGAAAGGTGTCTCTTGCAGGAGGCTGGCGATGTACAAGTGTACGTGACCAACGTGCTTATGCGGACGTTGGCAACAAGGCTAGCGGTACTTCTCAAATGGCGCGGAATAAATGAAAAAAACCCTTCGAGTCAACCAGGCTGGCCCAAGGAATTATTTATAAGTAGTTAATTGTTATTTTATATTTAGCTAGTTGAGTCAGTGTCTGGATGAAATTCAATAATTATGTTCTTCATTACAGACACGACAACTGAGAAGTTTCCGAACACAAATCTGCGACAAATAAAGGAAATCGTTCATCGCTGGCTGGAGAACGAACGGCAGAAATTTCGGAAGCGCCTGCAGAGAGCCACCAAGGATGACAATTGATCTTCCCCCTGTATTTTTTTAAAAATTCACTCGTCAAAACATTTGTACTTGAGAGCGCTTATTGATATCCGGAAAGGTAACACGCTGAGCAATTATGTGGGGGCAGATGAGTTATCACTTAGTGTTTAGGATGTTACTGAATCGTACTAGGGAAAGAGATAAATCCGTATAATGGGCTGTATTTGCCCGTCGAACTTTAGCTAAGTGCGGACTGGGTGCAGAAATCCCGGTACTGATTGTGGATTTTCCGCACCTGGATGCGGAAACGTCTACACTATTTCCGCACCCGGGTGCAGAAGTGTGCGGATATTATGCGAAATTTTCCGCACCCGGGTGCGGACTGGGTGCGGAAACTTGTTTCATTTCCGCACTGGTTCCGCACTTGCAACGCAAACTATAGGTTAGTTTACGTAACTTGACCTCATCCTGTTTGCTCCAACACTTTCACACGGCAGCCGCGGCGATCGCAGTCCCAAGTGCCTCAAATCGGGGTAGGATGCATATGTTGTCATTCGACAGATCACGTTAAGAACGTAGGCATCACCCTCCAGGATTTGCCGTCTGTCGCGGTGGTACAACGTATGCATCTCGAACTCCCGCATGAGCCACTCAGCGTGTCGGGACGCCTTTCGAATTGCATGCGGGAGTTCGAGATGCATTCGACGAGAAACTTGAGTCAGCAACCACCCCGGCTGACGTATGGCTTTGGGTTCTGTGTGCTCTGTGACCTGCCTAATACTACTAGTGTCCGCTGGAGTGCAACGGGTCGCGTGTCATATCACGCCGACTGTTGTGAAGGTGAACCTTGCCCACTTTGTGGTGGAGCTCTTCAGGCCTGTCCCAAAAGTGAGTCCACATGAAAATAAATCACTTTTGATTCTTAGCTCCGGGCCCATCCAGAAAACCCAGAGTTATGCTTGCTACCCGCTCCTATGATGTTGACCTGGACCGAAGCACAGATTCATAGCACAGTGTGTCCCGTAAGTCTGTGTGCGTCCGTGTTTTCGGGTCCACATAAGAATTACTCGACATCCGTGGGTCAATGTCTGACAACTACGACTAACTTTGTAGAGAGCCACCTAGATGAAAGAGACGAAGATGATTTCATGTGACCCATCGGCTCCGAAAATTTTTCCTGTTAATGAGGTCCTATGTACTTCATGTAAGTCTCGTATTTCCTGAGAGGTGCAGTAAATAGGCATGCGAAATAACCGCTGAAGGTGGCATTGTGTGAACAGGCATCTACGACAGCACAGTCGCTGCAGTGAATTTTGGGGTAAGTATCTCTACCAGTTTGTCGGCCGCCCGCCTTATGGTGATATTTCGATAAAATGAATTATATCTTCCTCTCATTTCAGGACTTCAACGGCCAAATGAACGCTTCTCAAGGAGAAGATAATGCGCCTTCCAGGAGGACATACGTAAACTTCAAAACGAGCAATATATCTCAAAATTCACTGACTTTCCTTTTGAGCCTTTTCTCAGTTACAGATGGATGGGTGCGCTAGTTAGTTAGGCACCGTGTACCCCTACCCGCATGTTAGTCGTGTGCGTCGGTTAAGAGCGTTCAGCTGTCCGCTATGATTGGCGTATATTCCATGTTCCTAGCATGTTCCATGTTCCATGTTCTAGCATATTTCGCAACCTATAATGGAAAACTCTGGTTTTTGCCAGCGAACGTTCACGACGCTTAGAAAATAACTAGCGTGCACTACGGAATTTTTACTGGCAACAAAGAATCATCGACAAAAATTTGTTTGCACGAATGCGCCTACGCAAATGTTGCATCTCCATGGCCATTTAGATTCCAGAATGTTGAGGAAATTTGTTCCGGTGGAAAAATACCTGAAAGTTACGTTCATTGTATGTAAGTCAACGATTTCCACAATACACGATTTTTTATCATTAGGTAACGTATTCACAGTCGGTGGAGTTTATTGACCTTGAGAATTCGCTCACTAAAACAACTCGCCACAGTAAATGATTTTCAATAATACAGGAGCATATATATTATACATAGACATTCTGCACTATGAAGTGGCAAGTCTGAAAATGCCGTAGTTTTCGAGAAATCAATCTCATTGTGCGAATAGCCAGCGGCGAATTTTATCGAAGAAACCTATTTGAATATTACACACCGGAAGCTTTTGAAAACAAGTCGGGGCTTTAAAAACCCATTTGGGCAAATAACATTGAAGTTGCGCTAAAACAGCTGCCAAACAATCAACATCGCTCCGAAACCATATCGAACGTCACACCAAGACCTCCATGTTCTCAGACATAATCGTACGAACATTTGATTTCTGCTAGGATGAAGTCGTCATATTTCCTCCGTAACTATACCCGAAACATATGTTGTAAACGCCCCAATGTTTCTGCGACCGGAAAAACATAAAAAGGGTACTTTTAGTACTGACACTTGTCGGAGGATCACTTCATCTGTTTGAAGTAAATTATCTTGCACCACTGTTGCGGCCTTTGAATGTCTCAAGGATGCAGTAACCGATATGAAAGCCAATGGCGTTCCACTTTGAGCTTCTCTTGACAGTGAAAGATAAGGAAGTTAAGGTTCCGAAATGTAGTCGTAACAGGCGAATCGTGCTTCCATCGTCATCAGCACAAAGGGTTTATTCTTGAACATTGTTTTTATTGAAGTGACACAAACAAAGGATGTATTCATCCCACAGGTTTTCAGTAACAAATAAACTTCTGTGAATTTTCACTTGGACACGATTTTCTTATGCTTCGGAAACCCCTGAAAATCTTTTTTCATGCTTTGTGGTCTAATCGCCGCCAAAACAAAACGTCTCGCATTCTATGCACACCATGATCCAAAGTGCAAGCCTCTTGCTATGAATTTCAGACGGCATTCAGCGGACAACTTCTGAAATTAAGCATTTATTCAATGAAAACCGTTCAGCCCTCAAAGTTTCTATGGAAGCGCAAATCCTCATCACGACTTATTAGCGACAGATGTAAGGGGTGGTTGTTGATCATAGTCAAACTGTATACCGATTTTTGCACATAACGCTTATCCGATCGCGAAACATGCGGATAGGAGAGATAACGTACCTCACTATAGTATAATGAGGTTGCTTGGTATCCTCAATGCCCTTCAACAAGCACCCATTAAAAGGTGACGAAATCTGGGAGACTTTTGTGGGTTGAAATGATGTTCACCAGTTTCGTCGAATACTTTCCATAGTAACGAACAAAGCGACGTAATTTCAAAGCGTAACAGATGATGTAACGCGTGCGACAAAATCTACGGGTGCATATACCTGTGTAAATAATATCACCAGTTGTGGAAAGAATTAAGATCACCATCAAACTCCTTATTGTTTTATTTCGCCATGGCTATAATTGTGAATTTCAGTTGAATCACGATGGACGCACGATTTTCACCACTAAACTCAGATTCCCCTGGTGTAAAACTAATACAGATATGATCAAACTGGGGCTCAGGGCTTTGCTAGAACGGCCCGTTTCGAAAGATCCGAAGTTTCAATAACGTTTACTTGGCTTGTTCGCGTACTTTTCCTGCTAGATAAACCGATCTTCTGATAAGGGTTACACAATCACTCACGACGCACCTCCTTAGTCGCTGCGGATTTTGAGAAAGCGCTTGAAAGTTTCATGAAATTGTTAGTTGATGCAGTGGTGGCCATTATTAATCCGGGAATAATTCTGCTACTTCAAACTCACTCGGCTGGTGTTGCAGATTTTGATGCAGTCAAGCAAGACTACGGGCGATGGCAGTATCCTCAGATACACCGTTTGCCTCCGAGAAATTTCAGTCTGCAACTGAGGAGGGAGCATACGGAGCACTGCACAGATGAAAGCACAATCTACTCACGACCCATGTCTAGATTGTAACCAATCAACGGTCCGTTGCGTTCATATATTAAACGCGGCAAATAGGGGGAAATTAAAAATGACGAAATCTAGCGATGTTGGTTTGATTTATCACCTTTTTCTCCTGACGGTACCTATAAACCAGGCTTCAAAAACTTAGCCACTAACATGCTTTTTCGGTGTGTCTGTAC